GGCGGGGGGCGGGGGGTGGCGCCGGGGAGGCGGGGGGGGGGGGGGTGCACCCAGGAACACAGGACCAGCAGGACAAGTTGGGTGTTTGTGCAGTGTGGTGCGTACAGGCATATAGTGTGTGTGGAGTGTCTGCACAGCAGATGCCAGGGGACAGTGCGTGTGCCGGATGAGGAGGCTCTGAGATCCATGTCTGTGGGCACAGGTAAAGGACTGTGGGTATGGTCTAAGCATGTCTGAGGGCTGCTTATCTGGTGTGTGTGTGTGTGTGTGTGCGCGTGCGCGCATGCCCGCCTGTAACTAACATGTGTCTCCAGAGGCACTGTGTTAGAGGGATTCTGAGCACGGTTTCTGCATCTGTGTGGGTGCAGGCTAAGACCACAGGGTGAGTGCTGGCCACTGACATTGTGAGCACTGGGAACTGGGGAGTTGGTGCAATGACTCCATGTGGCCTAGCAGGCTACCCTTCGGGAGGAATAAGGTCCCTGACTCCAATTCTAAGCCTTTTGCCCCATGTTCTGAGGTGGGGCAACAGAACTGCCGGAGACCCTGGGTTGGCATCCACGGTGAGGGAGAAATCAGGCATATGAGAATCCCGTGGAGGAGGGTTGTCCTGCCCCCTGACAGCTGCTGCTGGAACTCTCCAAGAGGCTGAAAAGTCATGGGTCAGCCTGGGGCTAGTGCTGATGGAGAGGCGGGAGGAGTAGCCTGGCCCCATGAATGAATGTCAGGATTCCAACACAGGCCCCTCCTATTCCTCTTGAAAGGAACCAGTCTCACCCTGCCAGGCACCTCTACACACCTGACCCCATGCCTTCCTCCACCCTCCTGTGCCTCTGCCCTGGCCCCTAACCCCCCAGGTGTCCTGCTCCCTGCTCCCCTCCCCTGCAGGGCTCATCACTAGCAGCCAGTCAGCAGCCTACGCCATCAGCAAGTTTGTGAGCGGGGTGCTGTCTGACCGGATGAGTGCTCGCTGGCTTTTCTCTTCCGGGCTTCTCCTGGTTGGCCTGGTCAACGTAGTCTTTTCTTGGAGCTCCGCAGTACCCGTCTTTGCTGCTCTCTGGTTCCTCAATGGCCTGGCACAGGGGCTGGGCTGGCCCCCATGTGGCAAGGTCCTGCGGAAGGTGAGTGTCTGCTTCCAAGGAGCTGGTTCAGATTGGCAGAGAGGACACCTAAAGAGCATGTGGGCACACTGGCACCTCCACCCCCAACCAGAGCAGGTTCCTCAGGCGTTCCAGTCCAGCTCTTGTTGCTTGTCAAGATATTTTAGGAGGCTGAACGTGGTGGGATCAGGTGGCAGATGAGGGAATTGGCCCTGCCAAGTACAAGCCCTTTCCCTCATCCCTGTAATGTGAGCTTCTGTGTCTGCCCCACCTGACCCTCACCCTCAATATGGACTGTAGGCTGAGCATCTACTCTGTCCCCCCTCTGCCCCACAGTGGTTTGAGCCATCTCAATTTGGCACTTGGTGGGCCGTCCTATCAACCAGCATGAACCTGGCTGGAGGGCTGGGCCCCATCCTGGCAACCATCCTCGCGCAGAGCTATAGCTGGCGCAGCACGCTGGCCCTGTCTGGGGCACTGTGTGTGGCTGTCTCCTTCCTCTGTCTCCTGCTCATCCACAATGAACCTGCTGATGTTGGGCTCCGCAACCTGGACCCCACCCCCTCCAAGGGCAAGAAGGGTGAGTACGCACTAAAGCCGACCCCTAGGGAACCTTCATTCATCATTCACCTGGCAGACTTTCATTGAAGACAGGCTGTATGCCTGGCCCTGTACTAGCTAATGGATGTCGGGATGGTGATGGAGAGTGGGTGGGGAGTAAATAAAACTCCATCCTTAGAGGCAGTTAAGTACCAGACAAGTGGCAGAGCCAGCAAATGCTATGACTCATGTTATAGCCTAGTCCTTCCTTACAAGAGAGCCAGAGTTCCCTGTGTGGACAGCATCCTAAGCTTAAGTGGCTTGGGTGCCTTCCTCCATCCCCACTGGTCCTCAGGTTCTCTTTCATTCGTTGAGACTTGCAGTGGAGAGGAGAGGGCAGAACAGTGGGTGAGGGGGACCTTCCTGCTG